TCGATTTGTAGAGGGTTTCTCATCTATTGCAGCACCTATGACCAGGCTGACCCAGAAGGGTGCTCCGTTCAGATGGAAAGAGGAGTGTGAGGAGAGCTTTCAAAAGCTCAAGACAGCTTTCACTACAGCCCCAGTATTGGTATTGCCTACAGGTTCAGGGTATTATACTAGTGATGCGTAGCGGGTTGGTCTCGGTGTGGTGTTGATGCAGGACTGTAGGGTGATTGCCTACGCGTCCAGACAACTGAAGGTGCATGAAAAGAACTACTTGTCCACGACCTTGAGTTAGCAGCTATTGTTCATGCCTTAAAGATTTTGCGGCACTATTTGTACGGTGTCTCTTGTAAGATCTACACCGATCACCGGAGTTTGCAGCATCTGTTCAAATAGAAAGATCTTAACTTGCTTCAGCGGAGGTGCTTAGAGCTACTTAAGGATTATGATATCACTATTTTATATCATTCCGGGAAGGCCAATATGGTGGCTGATGCCTTGAGTTGCAGGGCAGGGAGTTTGGGGAGCATAGCATATCTACCAGCAACAGAGAGGTCGTTGGCCTTGGATGTTCAGGCCTTGGCCAACTAGTTTGTTAGATTGGATATTTTTTAGCCGAGCCGAGTTTTGGCTTGTGTGGTCTCCCAGTCTTCTCTTTATGATCGTATCAGGGAGCATCAGTATGATGACCCTCATATGCTTGTCTTTAAGGACACGGTGATGCTAAGGAGGTCAGTATTGGTGAAGATGGTGCATTGAGGATGCAGGGTAGGCTATATGTACCCAATGTAGATGGATTACATGAGTTGATTCTCTAGGAGGCTCACAGTTTGCGGTACTCCATTCATTCGGGTGCCGCGAAGATGTATCAGGACTTGAGGCAGCATTATTGGTGGAGGAGAATGAAGAAGAACATAGTGGAATATGTAGCTCGGTGTCTAAATTGCCAGCAGGTGAAGTATGAGCATCAGCGGCCAGGTGGCTTGCTTCAGAAGTTAGATATTTCGGAATGGAAATGGGAGCGGATCACTATAGATTTTGTTGTTGGGCTTCCACGGACTCAGCGGAAGTTTGATGCAGTTTGGGTGATTGTGGATAGGCTGACCAAGTCAGCTTTCCTGTGATAACTACTTATTCTTTTGAGTAGCTGGCTCGATTTTATATCCACGAGATTGACAAGATTAATGGCGTGCCGGTATCTATCATCTCTGGTCGGGGTACGCAGTTTACATTTTAGTTCTGGAGGGTCGTACAACATGAGTTAGGTACTCGGGTTGAGTTGAGCATAACATTTCACCCTCAGATGGACGGACAGTCCGAGTGCACTATTCAGATACTGGAGAATATGCTCCGTACTTGTGTGATGGAGTTTGGGGGTTCTTGGGATCAGTTCTTGCCACTTGTGGAGTTTGCCTACAACAACAGTTATCAGTTGAGCATTCAGATGGCACCGTATGAGGCTTTGTATGGTAGACGGTGTCGGTCTCCGGTGGGTTGGTTCGAGCCGGGATATAGACTTGGTTCGGGATGCTTTGGAGAAGGTTAACGTAATTCAGAATCGACTTCGCACAGCCCAGTCCAGACAGAAGAGTTATGCAGATCGGAAGGTTCACGATGTTGCATTCATGGTTAAGGAGCGAGTCTTGCTCCGGGTTTCGCCCATGAAGGGTGTTATGAGGTTTCGGAAGAAGGGCAAGCTGAGCCTAAGGTATATTGGCCCATTCGAGGTGTTGCGGAGAGTTGGGGAGGTTGCTTATGAGCTTGACTTGCCTTCCAGTCTAGCAGGAGTTCATCCAGTATTCCATATTTCTATGCTTCGGAAGTATCACGACGATCCATCTCATGTATTGGATTTCAGCTCAGTCTAGTTGTACAAGGATCTATCTTATGTGGAGGAGCCGGTGGCTATTTTGGACAGGCAGGTCCGAAAGCTGAGGTCAAAGAACATTGCTTCAGTAAAGGTTCAGTGGAGGGTTCAGCCGGCCAAGGAGGCGACTTCGGAGATCGAGCATGATATGCACAGCCGTTATCCTCATCTCTTCACCAATTCAGGTATGTCCCTATGCGCGTTCAAGGACTACCGATTGTTTTAAGAGGGAGAGGATGTAACGACCCGGCCGGTCGTTTTGAGAGTATTAGCCCCGATCCCCTATTTACTGCTTTTCGCGTATTTTTTTCTGCTTATGTTACTTGCCGGGAGGTTCTGTTTTTGGATTTAGAGTATTTTGGGACACTTAGTCCCTAAAACGGAAGCTTAAGTTCTATGATTTTCACCGTAGTTGGAATTGTGTGAAGACGACTCCGAAATGGAGTTTCGTTGGTTCCGTTACCTCCGTTGGGTGATTTTGGACTTAGGAGCATGTCTAGATTGTGATTTGGAGGCCCGTGGCTGAATTAGGCTTGAAATGGCGAAAGTTGAATTTTCACGAAGTTTGACTGGAAGTGGACTTTTTATTATCGGGGTCGGATTCTGATTTCAGAAGTTGGAGTAGGTCCGTAATGTCAAATATGACTTGTGTGCGAAATTTGAGGTCAATCGGACGTGATTTGATAGGTTTTGGTATCGGTTGTAGAAGTTTGAACTTCTAAAGTTCATTAAGTTTGAATTGGAGGGCGATTCGTGTTTTTAGCGTTGTTTGATGTGATTTGAGGGCTCTACTAAGTTCGTATTATGTTTTAAGACTTGTTGGTATGTTTGGTTGAGATCCCGGGGGCCTCGGGTGGATTCCGGGTGGTTAACTGACCAGTTTAGACTTGGAAGATTTCAGAAATTTTTGGTGTTTTCAGTTACTGGTTTCCTCATATGCGGTCGCGTATGAGGAGACACGATCGCAAAGCCTTGAGTTAGGCATTCACCTTTTTGTTCTATGCGATCGCAGGATCTCATCCGCGATCGTAAAGTTTGCATGGCCATTGAATCGCGAACGCATGGCCTTCACCGCGTTCGCAGTGAAGAAAAGAGAGAACCTGGGCAGAGAGAGGATTTACTCTATGCGGTCGCGTGGAGTGTTACGCGATTGCGTAGGTTAGCTTGGCAGTGGTTCGCGTTAGCGAATAGATATCCATGTTCGCGTTGAGTATTTTTAAACTGTTGGAATTTTGTTCTACGCGATCGCATGAGATGTTCCACGATCACATAGTGTGAGCATCTGGGCAGACTATAACATTTCAAAAACGAGGGTTTTGACAATTTTATCAAAACTTGAGATAGAGAGCTCGGATTTAGACGAAATTTTGAGGAATTTTCAGAGACATCGATTGGGTAATGATTCTTCACTTGTTTTTTTGTTATACCCCACTAATCTATCATTAATTCCATCCTTTAATTTCGGATTTGAGTTGAGAAAAATGGGAAAAGTACTTCAACCAAATTTTTGGTTTTGATTGAGATTTTGACATCGGATTTGAGTAACTTTGGTACGAGTGAACTGGTGGTGAATGAGTATTCGTATTTTGTGACTTTTACCCGATTCCGAGACATTGGCCCGGGTCGACTTTTTTGGGCGAATTTCTAATTTCTTGCGAAAGTCTTGATTTCATTAATTAGATTAGTTTCTGATAGTTATATTTATGGTATGTAATTGCTTTTGGCTAGATTTGAGCCATTCGGAGTCGGAAAATCATGGAAAAGGCATTCTTACTGATTGATTGAGCTTGGTTCGAGGAAACTGGCTTTCCTAACCTTGTGTGGGAGAAATCCCCTTAGGATTTGGTATTGTTGTGATACTTCTGTGATATGTGAGCGCCGTGTATGCGAGGTGACAAGTGCGTACACGGTCTAATTATTGTAAAATTCGATTTTAGCTGAGTAATAACATGTTTCATCTTAATTGAGTTATACCAGCATGTGTAGTTATCCTGTTTAGCCTAATATCGCATGTCTACGTATCTTAAATGCTTATTTGAAATCTGTGCGGCATGCATAGTTGATTTCCTGTTTTCCCTTTATCTGTATCAGTCTTAACTGTAGAATCCTTGCTGTTAATTGTTGTATTCATCGGTTTCGAGCTGTGTGTTTACTTTTGGGACTACGAGACGGTACCTCGGGAGATCCCCCCTGCACATTTACTTTTGAGACTACGAGGCGGTACCTCGGGAGATATCCCTGCACATTTGCTTTTGAGACTACGAGGCGGTACCTTGGGAGATCTTGCATTTTTACTTTTGGGACTACGAGACGGTATCTCGGGAGATCCCCTGTTGTTTATCCCTGTGTGCTGTGATGCTATTTTTCTGTGGTTTTCTCTTTGTTAAATTTCCAGTCTCTTATTACACTACTATTTTCTTCTGCCTTATTTATTATATACCAATAGGGCCCTGACCTGACCTCGTCACTACTGGATTGAGGTTAGGCTTGGCACTTACTGGTACCGTTGTGGTGTACTCATGCTACTCTTCTGCACATGTTTTGTGTGCAGATTCCCTCGTCATCAGTGAGCAGTGAGATTGTGGAGACTTCAAGGTATATCTGTCGCGTCTGCAGACCTCGGAGTCCCCTTCTATTCCCTCCTATGTCATTTACCTTTCCGTACTTTTCTTAGACTCTGATGTATAGAGATACTTAGTTTTCTTCTATATCTTGTGACTTATGATTACCGGATTTTGGGAATACCGTGTATACTCGAGTTATGGGTTACTTGTACATGCTCAGCGGCATTTATCAAGAAGTACCACCTTCGTACTTTCAATGGCTTAGCAGCTTCAGCTCAAGTCTCTGCTTCTCACCTATCTTCTGAATCTGTATCTTATCCCCTTTTCTGTGTAGTTCTCGTCTCTTTCTGATTATCTGTCCTATTCTTCTTAGCTTTCCGTGGTAATTTCCTTGCAATTGTTTGTAATGCCAGTTTAATATTCAATATAATCAGTGAGTTCTATTAAAGGAGAGTTGTCTATTTCTAGTTTGTTACAGACAAACTTTCAAATAACTTAAGAATTGGGTACATTCAGAATCATCTCCAGAGTGTTAGTTCAACTGAGAGCAACTCTTCAACAGTCTAGGCAATCAATCATGGGATAATTTCATCTTGCATACAGTCTCTAAGTTTGATTTCTGTAACGTTCGTTTCAGCCTTGTATACAACATCACAACACTCTCTTCTACTACCCACCTGAAAACAAATTCTAGTCAGATAAATACCACATTACTTATTATTAACCCAACCTTGTAAATTTTTTCTTTTACGTGATCAATATAATTTAGCATGTTATAATATTTTAATTTGTCTGACTCTTTTAGGTAACTAGTTTAACTTGTTATAGGCATTTATCTATAGTTATCTTTTATGTGACCTGATAACATAAAAATTCTTTTAAATTTAAGTGCATAGAAATTAAATCATTAAAAAGCGTTTATAAAAATTTACACTATCGGATTATCTGAAAAACTACATGTAACCTACTACAATAAGTTAAAATATACTAAGGGGTTGTTTGATTACCGGCATTAGGATACTAGTCTCAAAATAGAATTTGGCATTGTATTTATCTCATGTTTAGTTATGGGTATTGGTTAATATTGGTATAGATTTTATACTAAAATCTTAGTATTAACAATCACATAGTATATGTGGAATATAAAACATGGGATTATTAAGTCCTGAATATCCCTCTTTGTGACCATATGGTCCCTGATAGTATAAAAATTATGTATGATGTCAGCTTATAAGTTAAGTTCCATAAAAAGAGTTTAAATTATACGCATTTATAGTGTAAAAGATATTTACATAATAAGGTCACTTATAATTAAAATCTCTATAATAAATATTAATTTATGAATAAGTTGGCAAAAATTAAAAACTAGCATGCTATTACATACTATTAAATTTCACTAATGCTATAAAAATATTTAAATTGTCAATGTATGTAACTTAAATCAAGATCGTATCGATACTCACCGAGTCAAGCTTCTTCATAGGAGACAGGACATAGATTTCTGAAATGTGATTTGCAGAGTGATTGCCACTGAATGAACAAGGAGGTAATTTACGTGGATATTTCCTTGTATAATTAGTAAGCAAATAATTTTTCATTTTCTGCATAGACTCAAAGAAAAGTAAATGGGGAGCTTCACAAGGATTATTAGAAGGTAAACGAGTATTAAAAACAAACCAAGGTTTAAACAATTTACTCCAAGGAATAAAAGTTTGTAATGGTATTGTTATAAGACTTGGAGGAAAAATGGACTCATAAATTTGAATAGAATAACCCCATGATATAGAAAATGTCCAATTTTTAGGCTTGTAATAACAAATACTTTGTTGTAGGATTCTTGATTCATCTCCTAATTTTGCAATTTTCATAAGATGGTTTAATGATTGAGATTTGTTCATTAAGGGAAATATTGGGTCTATAAAATCAAGGTGGTGAAGAGAGACAAGAGGAGATTGTGGATGTGCTGATAGGAATCCAGATATGTCACCATGCAAATCCATCTGCAATAACAAAGATAAAAAATCATTATAGTGTAATTTTCCGACGAAGCGGTGTCGCGGAACTAGAATATAACTTATGGGTTCAACCGAATTTGTAGTATTACTTATAAAATTAGTAGTTAATTTACATATATACCGGCCGAATATATTACTGTATTATTAGGTAATCATATTAGTAGTGGCAGAGCCAGAATTTTCATTAAGGGGTGTCAAAATATAAATAATTAGATACATCAAAAAATCAAGGGGAGTCAACGTATAGTAAATATACATAAAATTAAAAAAAAAATTATCTAGCAATATAGTGTAATTTTTCGACGAAGCGGTGTCGCTTGACACCTCTTGGTTCAATGTGGCCCCGCCACTGCATATTAGACTTGTTAAAATTAATTACATATTATTATAAGTCAATTTAACCCGATACATAAAAATTCATACATTATCAGATTACATAACTTAATAGATATGCTTAATCTTTATGATAATTAAGCATTAATTAGTAACTTCGTAAATATTAACTAACAAGCTATCATCAATTAAAAATCACTTATAGTTATCTTGAAAAACATGCCAAAAGATTCTGCAAAAAGAAGAATTAACTTAAATAGCCGTTCATCCAAACGCTTAAATTAAAAATAGGTGGCAGATGCATAATGTATATTCATGTATGATATGTGTATATAACCGTGTATAATCACTATATAATTTATATAAACCACTAAAAAAAATAAACTATGAATACAACCCGCTATTTGTGTAAAAATTCTTGAAAAAAATACCTGATGGTAGCCCTTTTGTCGAGTGAGAGAGACACCTAAATCAGCTACACATGACTGCAAAATATGGTCACCCCCATAAAAAGTTGGATATCTTTTAATACAAATATCCAAATTCTCTACCATTGCCTCCACAAGAGCATAACTAAAAGCATATCCACCTCCACCAAAAGCCATATTAAAAGAGTGAACAAAATTTGATGCATGAGTTTCTGAATTCATCCCAACATAATAATATTTCCTATGATCATACTTTGACAAAACCTCAACCAAATTATCTAGGAAAAAAATAGTGTCATCATCAGCCATAATATACCATCTTGCACTCTTATTTTCCATCTTGAATGTCTCCGCTACGACGCGCGCCATCCGTATAGTTTGCGGTATCGGATGTTTATCGTACATTTTGTATCTCGACGTGTTTTCTGAGATCTTGAAAGGGGGACACGAAGAAGGCCATGGAAGTAATTCTTTTGGATAATTTTCTAGAAACACGAATCCGCGTGTTACATTAGGTCTCCACCAAGATTCAACGTATGATATTCTGTCCTTCCAAGTTTTAGACGAGCTTGTTATTCCGAAAACTAGATGACTAACGTTGGTGGGAGAATCATCTTGATTGTCACCTCTGAACCTCATCAAGTTATTGAACATAGTAGTTGAGTAGCAACATGGATGATTAGAGAGCAAAATGTAGATAACATAGAGAATTAATCCTGAAATTAGCAATGATTTGCACAATTTTCCACTTAATACATCGGATAATTGCGTAATCTTACGTCTAATAAGAGAAATCAAGTTTGTGGAAACCATGAACGACATGAAAAATAAAATGTAAGGAGAAAAAAAAATTGAAGGTTGATACCAATTTCTTGAACAAATAATGTGAATTTTTCTAATGGAATTTTTTTATTTATAGCAAGAATTGGATGTAAATATAATGTAAGAGTACTTGATAAAGTAGAATTTTATGGGTTTTGGTCAGAAGTATAACACAAGATGCATGTTAATATGACATGTTATTTTTCTCGTGTAAACTATATACTAATAAAGTGTTGAATATAACGTGAAAAGGTAAAAATAGAGATGTGCAGTAATTCAATTTTTCTCGTGCCCCTAAAGCCAATCCACGAGTTTTAGTATACACATAACATGCTGTTTAATGTTTATCATTGTGCAATGACTGATTATATGCCCTGTAAGTTTAACAAGCATAATTCTTACTGTTATGAACAATAATTTAGGGTAGGATTTAAATTATATACACTATATTATAACACAATCTTACAACATCAATGTAATTTAACTTGTTATAGCATGTTATAAATTACGCGTTATTTTAAGTTACCAATCAAAATCTACTTTCGGTCCAATGTTTCTTTTAAGAATAAATTTGTAATTGCTAACACTTACTGTCCCCTGATTTGGGATATCATACTCTTCTTCGTTGGAGTATAATTTTGGGCAAACATCAATTTTAGCCCCCGGCCCAAAACTATTTATATCCGGTAACTGCAAAAGTGTATATTTTTTGTATACAACATACATAAATTTGTAAATTTTTTTGTATATAACATACAGAAATGTATACATATATACAGAAAAAATATTAAAAAAATACATATTTTTCGGCTATTATTTTGAGAGCGGCTATACAATGTCATTTTTTCTATAATTTTTGTGTATATTTCACAAGTCTTCTAGTTTGTGGCAGAGGCGGATCCAGGTTTTCAAGATGATGGGTGCACTATTGAGAAGAGGTGGATTTAAAATTTAGGTTTAACGTGTTTAACTTTAGTCTCTTACCATGAACCCACTATACTTTTGAAATTATAGGTTCAAAATTATATTCTTTTTAAAATTTTAGTGATTTTCACGTTTATATCTATACTCCATGCTGAAATAAGACCGTCCGAAGTAGAATTTGAACCGCAAACTCGTAGAGGTGCAACCAATATTTATTGCACCATAGGAGTCTTTGAGCATGGGTACGCATACATATATTTAAGTAATTTTGAAAAAAAAAAAAAAGACATTGTTATACATGGTTTAGGGATAGGGATATGAGTTCACGTGAAACCCATATCCTAGGAGCTAGATACGCCCTGGTTTGTGGTACAAAGATTCTATACAGTATGACACATAAATCGGTACAGGAGTATGGTGAGAGATCGAGCATGCACCTCATCTTCGCAACTCAAGGATTAGGAGCATGAAGATAGCGTGCTAGTCTAGAACCATTTTCATCTACCAACTAGTAAAAACACTGTCATCACCATTCTCATGTCACAACAAGTCTCATCAACATTAGTCGTCACATATCTCAGAAATCAAAAAAGTAAGTGTCAGACCACCCGTCACCTCCATTAGGAGGTAATCGCCACAACCATTTGACCAAAAACTACCAGAACTCAGAGAAATGAGTATCAGAGCACTTATAACTTCCGTAGAGAACTAACCGACCAAACAAAAGAAACTACTACCATAACTGGCAAACATCGTATTCTCTTACTATAATTGATTTGTTTTTGAAAGAAAGTCAACCTATTCCTGAAATTGCGGTCAGTCTCGCTACCTTTTTAGTTGCCACCTCCTACTTGCTTATTCGGAATTATTACCACAAGAAAGTCGCCCCTATCTCTAAAGGTTTGAGTTGTCTTTGATTAGTATAACTGACTTGAGCGTCGAAATGAACAAGCTAGTATTATTTGCAAGCGAAAAACAATGAACAAGTGCCTTGAATATTACATTTCATGCAAAATATACAAATCTAAGATCCACAGAAATGTGCAGTGATTTACATGCTTCTCACTCAGCCTCAGTTAAACCATTGTTTTAACCTCAGTACTCGTCCGGCATAATTAGGCTAAAATAAAACAACAAAGAAAATTAAGATTCAGCCGTCTCTTATACATATCGTTAATCATCAACATAGATGGTTTCTTGCTGAAACAGCCCGCCAAAAACCTTCCTCGTCTCTGTTTTAGTCTCTGTTTGTTTAGTTGGTTTTGGCGCCTCGCTCTTTTTCGAAGCAAATGGTTTCCTAGGAGGAGTTTTGATCACTGCTTTCTGAGCAGGCAAATTTCTGGCCTTGGCCTGTCCCCTAATGGTAGCAACCTGCGTTGATTCCTCACCGGCTTTTTCAACAGCTGATTTCAATTGTGAGCTGAACTTTTCAAATGAAAATCCTGTACTTAAGCCTTTTGCTTTTTCCAATAGACTTTCAACAGACGGACCTGCGGCTGATGAATCCTTCTCTTCAGCTTCTTTAGCAATGTTAGCAGCCTTTGCTTGTTTCTTTTCGAGCTTTTTCACCTCTTCTTCCTGCCTCTTGGATGCTTCAGCAGCTTGTCGAGCTTCTTCCTCAGCTTTCGACTTTTCAAGTGCTTCTGCATAAGCCTTCCTCCGGCCATCCTCAGGAATCGTGCTATATATATAATCGTTCCTTCGTTTAGATTATACGGCATCCAAAAGTTGTAAGCAATTGAGGAAAAGACGTAATTACCTAAAAAGTTCATCCACAGTCTTTTTTGATGCTAATGGATCAGTAAAGACTTCCACAACCTGTAAAAGGAAAGAATTTCCAGTTATCAATTAGCCAATCAATCGACTACGCCTCAACGCTGAATTAGCTAGGACTGATTATATGGATCTATGTATCCTTTCCATATGGACCGGCATACAATTCCTAACAATAATAAAGAGATTCCTGACATTTGACAAGCGACACACCTAATGTAATGATAACAGTAACAACAAATAAAGACGACTGGTGAAATCATTACCTTATTTTCTGCAACTGCAGTGTTGGAGAAAACATCCACCACTAGCTTAGCTATCTCAGACTTAGCCACCTGATGTCCACAAAAAAACGAGATAGTAAGGGATCACAAGCTTAATCAATCTACTCCTCATGCTTTATAAAGGCAGAAGGCAGGGGAAAAAGGAAAAGATAACAGGTAGTGTACATGTAGCTAAAGGCCGATCTAGCATATAAGCAGTTCATACAAATTGCACCTACTGTCTCCAAGTAGGAAGACAAATGTATAGAGAAAATTTTGATTTTTTTTTTTAAAATTAAGAGGTACACCACTAACAAAAGTAGTATGCTCAAACTTAAGATTTTGTTAGAATTTTCATAATGTAAAAGAAATATTGCATACATTACATTACTTTGTAGGCGTTTTCACCAGCACTCCCTTCAGCTGACACGACGATGTTGTATGAGCTCTCAGGGGAGAAATCCTCTGTTAAGCTGGTTTTTATGAGTGTATATCTCACATCTGTCTCCACTATCTTCTGCAGAAACTCCGTAATCGTCAATGGCTGAGATTTTGAAAACAGATTGTTGAAGAAGGATGTAATGCCATCGAGCACGTTGTAAGTAGAGCCTACTGAAGAAGATTCATCATAGACTATGGCCACATGTCCAACACCAGCTAATTGTGCCGCTTGTATTACTTGTACGGCATCTGTTGTGGTGACTTCAGTTGTAGGACCATCCTCTCCCTTACCAATAGTTACCACAACTTTGCTAGCATTTCCTATTGCTTTTGCAATTGATTCTGCATCTTGAAATGTGGATGCAACAGCATTCAGGCGTTTCGACTCTTCGTTAGAGATTACCTGCAATGATGCAACATGCATAGTCAGAAAAAGATAACAGATCTATTTTTTTTTTATTTAAATCTATTTTCTATCACCAATGAAGTGGAGCCTTGGAGTAATGGTAAAGTTGTCTCCGTGACCTTTAGGTCACAAGTTCGAGCCGTAGAAGTAGTCACTAATACTTGCATTAGGGTAGGCTGTCTACATCACACCCCTTAGGATGCGGCCATTTCCCGAACCTTGCGTGAATGCGGGATACCTTGTGCACTGGGCTGCCCTGCCTATTTTCTACCATCACTTCTCTTACTTTGCAATAAGAGCATTTTGTTTGCGTAGTCTCCAATTAAAGGTTAATCCTTTTTCGATTTGGCCTCAAGGATTCATTACCTCATTGCACAGGAGATGCTTTCATTTAGTGATATTTAAAGAATTGTCTATTTGTTTAAGTCCTAAACATTCAAAGAAATGGTATAGAAAATCATATTTCATTTGTTGGTTGAGTTTTACTACCTTCAAGATTGTTGAGCAGTTTATATGGATGCGTTGTTTGCTGCTTTAATCCTACTATACTACTCGAACATCGATCCTCTGACGTAATTCCTTACGTAGTGGAAGTGTGGAACACTCAGTGCCCAGGCAGTTAAACAATATTGATTTATGACTCCTTCAATAGAGCTGACAACCATCGAGAAAATTGTCTTGTATTGCTAAGTTTCAAGACGTTCATTAAAATCTTTCGCCATATGCAAAAGTTAAATACACCCAAAGTTCAGCATCAATTCTATTATGAAAAATGGACAATGGGCCTAACTAAACTGCGAAAGTTAACTTATGAGGTGAGTATTGTTTGAAACTGAAACCATATAAGCAGACAACAAACCATTCCCTCAACCAATGCGAGACACTCTAACACTCCCTCTCCCATCCCATGCAAGGCTGGACGTCTAGACCGTGGACAATATTACATGCAGGCTCAATATTGTGCAACACAACAACAACGATGGCACTGGCAATGGCTTAGATAGAGATAAATGGAACTTGAGATTAATTCAACCGAAAGGCTAGCTCATGAGGTAATATCGCGCAAAACCATTTAGAAGATGAGGTTCTTTCTTGCAACCAATGCCAGATACTCTAACAAGTTCTGCATTTCCAGGGACAAAGAAACTAACCTTGTAGCTAACGGCTAACTGAGCTAGCTCTTGGGCTGCACCAAGGTCAGAAACTCCAGCTCTGACACTAAAACCTTCACGAAGCAATGTCTGTGCAATGCGGACACCAGCTTGTCCAGTAGCACCAGCAACAAAAACTGTTCCAGGATCCTTTGCCCTTTGCCTTCCAAAAGCCAAACCAGAAGACGGATTGGTGCTAACAGGTATCAAAGACTTCATATCAGGTAACTTACCTGTTCATGACATAGTATAATTAAGTAATTAAAAGTGTGTTCTCTCTAAAAGCTTAAGATGAATGGTCACGCAACTCAACATGGTATCAGAATAGGCAAGAGGTCTAGGATCAAATCACAATGGCACCCAACAAAGTAAGTTATTTTCACGTGTTTGACTAATGTAAAAGAATTAAGCCGACTTGTGAAGGGACGTGTTGAGACATAATATAATTAAGTTATTATAAGTATGTTCTGTCTAATAGCTTAAGCTAAAATGGTCACCAAATTCAACATGGTATCAGAACAGGCAAGCGGTCTAAGATTCAAATCACACCAGCATCCAAAAGGGTGAGCTATTTTCACGTGTTTGACTCATGTAAAAGAATTAAGCCGGCACGTGAAGGGACCTGTTGAGACATAATATAATTAAGTAATTATAAGTGTGTATTCTCTAACAACTTAAACTTTTAGATGAAATAGTAATGCACTTCAATATTATGAACACAATTCAACATTACCAAAATTAAAACTCAAGGGAATACTAATTCAAAGCGTGCTCTCTTGTGAAAAGGCATCAAGTCCACACAATTCGACATAATATAATGAAATAATTAGAAGCGTGCTCTTTCTAACAGCTTAACCTTTTAGATCAAATGGTAACACAGTTCAATATTATGGCGACGCAATTCAACGTTACCAAAATCAAAGATGAAAAGGTAACCAATTCAACATTTTATGGTTGCACAAATAAACATTAAAAAAACAACCCGGTGCACAAGGCATCTCGCGTTCACGCAGGATCCGGGAAGGGCTACCCCAAATGGTGTGATGTAGACGGCCAACCCTAATGCAAGCATAATGTCTGCTTTCGCGACTCGAAACCATGACCTACAGGTCACTCGGAGACAACTTTACCGTTGCTCCAAACTCCCCTTCAACAATTACCAAAATCAAAACTGAAATGACCTATAGTACACAATTAAAAAATTTACCAAAATCAAAACTGAAAGGAATGCCAGAATTGCTTGTAGTAGTTTCTTGATTTTCCTCATTAGAAGACTCAGCTGATTTGCCAAGACGAAAATTTGGGAAAGAACCAGACTTCTTAGCAAAAACAGTGAATCTTGAATTCTTGAATGATAATCTTGGATGGGGTGTAGTTGTAAGGAGAAATGAATTTGAAGTAAGAGTTGGAGCCATGAATATTGAAATTTGGAAAGAGATAGCAGAGTTGCTACTCTCTTCCTATTCAGTTAGTATATTTTTGCATGCAATTTTTTTTAATGATATTCCATTTGAAGACAGAAAAAAAGAGAGTGAATGGTGAAAGAGCAATATCTGTGCATTTGATTCTGGTCTCAGAACAAGAAGTTTTTGGATTGAATAATTTTGTCAATTTGGATGGGGAATAAGGTGGCTTTCCAATGGAATAAAGCCACGTCATATTTTATCTACAAATGAATCTTTCAAGCCAATCATTTATAATTGGTTCAAAAATAGTGGAATTCTCCTAACATTGTGTTAGTTTTATTTTGTTTTGGTTTTGATTTTTCTAATGCTTAGATTGGTTCTGATAGTTCAAAGATTTTCTACATGATAAGTATAGTTTTATATGCAATAATAGTTTAGTCATATTTTTTTTTGTCTGGTTATCAACTAAGTACTATTTATCACATAAATTTATTTTCATAATCTTATAAGTGAATTAACTTCGTCTGTGAGCTTACTTACATTATCGGTCCCAAGCCAAATAAAGAAAAAGGGTTGATGTAGGTTGGTAGCAAAAAAACTTGTCAATTCATGATGAATCCTCGTAATATGAGTTGAGCTTAAAGAATAAAATAAGGAGTCATATCACCAGTCAGAGGCGTACTCAGGATTTGAAGGTGGCCGAAAAGCAAAGCATTCAACCAGTATCTCCATTGGACTTTTAATCTTAAGGGTTCCAAACAAAATATATAGTCGTTTTTAACATATATACATTTATATATTCAGAATTTTTGCCGAAGTTAACGGGGTCCGGTGACCCCTCTTCTACATGAGTAGGTCCGCCTCTATCGCTAACACCTACTTATTCAGAATTGATACACATTAGTTGTCGTTATCTTAAGTGACTTAATTGTGTGAATATTCGTTATGGAGTTTATATTCCATGTACTATTTGTATAAAAATTATCTAGTACACAATTAGATAACTTATAAGACAATTACATATAAAATCCTATAATAATTTATAATCTAGTAATGTTAAACAAATACGCTAATGGTGTACATAAGTTAAATTGACATAATAATTAACCTTCTATAAAAGGTTAAATTGCACTATCGTGTAAGAAATATTTACAATATCAATACATATAAATTAAAGTTCTTATGAAATAAATGTGCTCATAATTTAATGTGGCAATAAGAATTAGGGAAACAACCAGCTATATCCATTTATAGGTAGCTTATTACAAAAATTGTTCAATACATAAAATATAACTAAGATTGGCCAATAAGCTATTTGTAAAAAAAAAAAAAAGGTCAAATTTTTGCTTTCTTTAGGGTGGGTGTTATTAGAACAGATTGGGTACATTTTAAGGAGTTTGAATCTCAATTTTGGGATGATTTGGTGGAGTTTTGAGGTGGTTTGAATTAAAAATTCGAAGTAGAAGATGAACATGAAAGAATTATATGTGTATCACACCGTGTATCGTTTGTATATTTTACACACACACACACACACACACACACACACACACACACATATATATATATATATATATATATATATATATACACACACACACACACACATGTGTGTGTGAGTGTGATGATCCAAAATATCATCTTATGATTTAAAACTAAATTCTGTGTTTCGCGGCCTTAAAAACCTCATTTTATCTCTCCTCGATTTGCATGCGCAGTCTGAGAGTGATTCCGGAAAGCTTTTATGTTGAAAGTTGATGAAAATAATAATTTTTGCCTCTAAAAGTTGATTTAGTTGACTTCGGTCAACTTTTTGAGTAAACGGACCCAGACTCGTGTTTTGACAGCCCCGGTGGGTCCGTATCGAAATATGTGACCTGGGTGTATGCCCGAAATCGGATTCGGAGGTCCCCTAGCCCGAGTTATGAATATTTGTTAAAAATTGTAAGTCGGAAAATTTAATGATTTTTAAGAAATTATTAATGATTGATCTTGTTGGTATCGGGTCAGTATTTTGGTTCCGGAGCCCGGTACATGTTCAATATAATTATTAAGACTTATCTGTAAATTTTGATGAAAAATGGAGTTGGTTTGACGTGATTCGAACGTCCGATTGAGAAAATAAGAATTTCAAAGTGTTCTTGAGAATTTCATTTGATTTGGTACTAAATTCGTAGTTCTAGGTGTTATTTTGGCGATTTGATCGCGCGAGCAAGTTCGTATGATGATTTAAGACTTGTGTGCATGTTTGGTTTGGAGCCCCGAGGGCTCGGGTGAGTTTCGGGCAGGCTACGGAGTGAATTGAACTTAGGAAATTTTGCCGGTATGTTGCAGGTCTGCAGACTTCGCATTTGCAGGGTCTGACTCGCAAATGCGAGCCTCGCATTTGCGAAGAATGCATCGCAATTGCGAGCAATTGGGCTGGGGGTGGACTTCGCATTCGCGAAGATCAAGATCGCAATTGCGATCATCCCAGGTCGCATTTGCGAAGGCAGCAGAGATGCGAGGAGTTCGCATTTGCGAAACTTTTCTCGCATTGCGAAGCTCAGGTCGCAAATACGACACCTGCAGTAGTGTAAAAAGGGACTTAGACGGGATTTTTCATTCATTCTCCAAATTTTCAAAAACCTAAAACACAAAAGGCAATTTTCCAAAGACTTTTTGTTCCCCAAATCATAGGTAAGTGATTCTTAGCTAATTTCTTTCAATCTTTCACTTCTTTTTACAAGATTTCAACCGAGAATATATGATTTTCATGGTTAAATTGGAGGTTTTTGGGTAGAAACTAGGGAATTGATAAATTGGGGATTTAGACCTCAAATTGAGATCGGATTCCAAAACCAATTGTATATCTGGGCTCGGGGGTGAATGGGTAATCGGGTTTTGGTTCGAATTTTCGGTTTGGACCAAGCGGGCCCGGGTGTTGACTTTTGTTGACTTTTTCAAATGGCCTAAATTGAATTCCTTGCTATCGTGGGTAGTTCCTAAGGCTTAAATTGAATCGTTTGGTTGGTAATTTACTAGATTCTATTGGTCCGGAGGCTTGTGTGAAGGGAAAAGCTGTGGTTGAGCTTTGAGTTTGGCCGTTGGAGCGAGGTAAGTGTCGTGGTTAACCTTGGCTTGAGGGATTAGGTATTGTTTGATTGTTTGCTACATGTTTGGATGTTGAGTACAACGTACAGGTGAGGTGACGAGTACCTATGCGTTGTTTTGAGTCATAGCATGCTACTGAGTCTTATTCATAAAATTTTAGCTTCCGTGATCATGTTATCCATGCTTAAACTAGTTTATTGTTATGTTGAATGTTCTTATCATATGTACGGATTTTGGTATTGATTGAGTATTCACTAAAGTTCGAGGTTGAAGTTGTAGAATCAAATATTGAAGTAAGACTTGTTATTGATATTTCTATCTCTCTATTGATATTGTTCATTGTTTGGGAGAGGAAGAGTGTTAAAGCACGAAGGGTGATGCCGTGCAATGTTTTGTGAGAGAGAGTTAATGCACGAAGGGTGATGTCGTGCCATTCTTATTTGATTTATATGGTGAGGATGAGAGTTAATGCACGAAGGGTGATGTCGTGCCGTTTTTGTTATCTATTATGGTGAGGTTGAGAGTAAAAGCACGAAGGGTGATGCCGTGCACTTGTCTTTTCTGTGTTTAATACTTTCATTGGAGTAAGGCATCTTGTCTACTGTTGTTTCTTTACTGTTATGATTTTCCTTGCCTTGTACTCCCCTCAGCATGTTTCCCCTCCTGTTTTTACCTATTCAGCTTCCATTAGTTGTTATTATGCCCGTATATTGTTTAACTGCACAAGTTTATGTATATGTCTTGTCCTAGCCTCGTCACTACTTCGCCCAAGTTAGGCTCGGTACTTACCAGTACATGGGGGCGATTGTACTGATACTACACTGCACATTGTGCTGATTTTGGTGCTGGACCAAGTTGATCCCGAGTTAGCTGGTGGCTTTATCTGATCGGAGACCCAAGGTAGTCCTGTTGGCGTCCGCAGGCCCTGGCGCCCCCTTCCATACCTCGGACTTTACTGTTTCCTTTATTTCACAAATAGTTGCACTTTCTTTCGGACAAATACTTGTAGTAAATATCTTAAAATGTTCGTGAATTGTGACTCCGGATTCTGGGTAGTGATAGTATATAATCAAAGTTGTTATTTATTTACTTCCGCATTTATTTGACATGTACAACTTGCTTAGTGTTAATCACTGAAACGTAAAAGGATTGGCTCGTAAATCTCTAATGTTGGCTTGCCTAGAAAGTGAAATGTTAGACGCCATCACGGTCCTGACGATGGGAATTCGAGGTCGTGACAAGTTGGTATCAGAGCACTAGGTTGCCTAGGTCTCGCAATTCACGAGCAGGCTTAGTAGAGTCTGGGAGATTGGTACAGAGACGTCTGTACTTATCTCTTAGAGGCTAAAGAGTTTAGGAACAAGTTCACTTCTATTCTTCTCTGTCGTGCGATTTTTGTTCTCTCAATGCTAATCGAACTCTTCTACTCTTGTTCTTTCGCAGATGGCGAGAACACGTACCGCATCCTCAGCTGAGCAGAAGCCAGAGCCCCCAATGGTAGCTCCTACGAGGGGCAGAGGTCGAGGTCGAGGCCGTGCCAGAGGCCGAGGCAGGGGCAGGGCTCAGCCCAGAGCTCGAGCAGCAACACCAGCAGCGGAGCCTCATGTAGAGTTTGATGAGGAGGCTCCAGCCCAGACCGTTCTAGCAGGACCAGCTCAGGTCTTAGAGGGGTTCATCGCCACCCCGGTACTTCAGGATGCTTTGGTCCGTCTAGTGGGCCTCATGGAGAGTGTGGCATAGACCGTCACATTCCCTGCAACACCAGCCATCTCTCAGGCTGGGGGAGGAGCACAAACTCCCTCTACCCTCACTCCGGAGCAGATGGCTCCTCAGTTTCAGACTCTAGCAGCTCAGCTCGTTGGGGTAGTTCAGCCGGGTGTTGCGGCACATACCGGTGATGGATCAGCTATGTCTTCTGAGGCTTTGTGGAGATTGGATAGATTTACCAAGATTTTCCTAGCTCACTATGGCGGTACATCTTCATAGGATCCCCAGGACTATCTGGACAGTTGTCATGAGGTGTTACGGAACATGGGGATCGTGGAGACCAATGGGGTCGACTTTGCTGCTTTTTACTTGT